AATGTGATTTTACTCTGACGTGACTCGACCAATTTTCATAATGACTTGACTTGTGACCTTAAACTTTGCGACTCTAACTGACTCGTGACTTGCTAGTTGGTGACTCGACAACCCTGATATATATATATATATATATATATATATATATATATATATATATATATATATATATCAAAGGTAGCATCAACAAAATCACTGAGTGTGCTAATGCAGTAACAACATGGTTTCTAGAAAATGGACTTCTGCTTATTCCAAATAAAACAGAAGCTATTTTATTTGAATCTAGAAAACAAACTAACAAATATAAAAATGATTCAAATATTGCGTTTTCTGGAACCACAATAACTACAATAAATTCAGTAAAAATCCTTGGAGTCACCCTAGGTTCAAAGCTCTCTATGGACAAGCACATAAACAATATTATTAAATCCTGCAATTACCACATTCGTGCACTTCGCCACATTCGTCTATGTCTGACCAAAGAAGCTGCAAACATAATTGCTTGTGGCATCTTTAACTCTCAGCTTGACTATTGTAACAGCATTTTATCTGGCACGTATCAAAAAAATTAAAAAAATCTCGTTTTGTTTTCCACTCTCCTTTCCATTTAAAATCAGAAATATTGCTGAAATTTCTTCATTGGTTACCAATACATCAAAGAATAATCTATAAAATATCAGTTATCACAAATAAAATTTTATTATTAAAATCTCCTGGATATTTATTTATTTATATATTTTGGTATAATTTAAGGTGCTCTAAGAAGCCCTTACGGTCTTATCATGAGAAGATACCACATTGATGTATAGTGTTGTTACAACTTTGAAATAATTCGACAGTCGAATAAATAGGTTAAAGTATTTTTCAAAGTCGACCAAAATCGACTAATATATTTTTGAAGTCGACTGAAAGTCGATTTCGTCAAAATATTTCAATTTTTTTTTTGATTATGATCATTTAATGTTGCTTGACAATTTATTTTTTAGACGCTATAAGATAAATATAACTTAAAGAGAGTAAACAAAAAACTAGGTGGTATGCAATACTTTTTTATAATACCTGTTGTTGTTATAACAAGAGCGTATATATATATATATATATATATATATATATATATATATATATATATATAAATTTGAATTTTTCTATTAGGTTAATTTAAATTGAATAAACAAACAAACAAAAAAATAAGTAAATAAATTACTATAGTAAAGTAAAGAGAAAAACAAGATCATTTTATATGTCTTGGATGAACAAAGAGCATTTTATGTCTTAGTTTAACAAAACACATTGATTAGCTAAATCTTGTTTAAGTCTATTTTGCAGTTCTACAGCTATTTTGATTTCTACAGCACTTAAAAATAGGTTTTCCGAAGGCGTTGATGAACCAGTTATACAAAAGAGTATCTTTGCTACCTTTGACAAAACTGGAAAATGGCATAAACTATTTTTATAAAATCCAAGGGGACATAAATTTTTTAATACTTTTGTATTCATATTTAAATAATTGACGATTTCTTTGTAAAATCAGATATTGGCTCTAATAAATCAATTAGCTCGCCAAAGATTTTCAGTTGCCTGCTTTTTAATAACCAATCTTTAATATCTTGTTGATTATACTTACTTAAATGTAATGTCTTTGATTGATTCGTTAAGTTTAAACTGATTGCAACATTAAAAAAGTCGAACTTTACCGAGTAGGCGCGTTTGGTTTTAATTTGCTAATTAAGCATTTATTTTCTGGGTTGCAACATTCATATTATTTAATTCAACAAAACTTACTAGCTCAACAGAAAGCTTACTATGTTTAAATAAGTCCAAACAGGTTTAAACCAGTTTCCTAAATTTCTTTAAAATTATGAAGACACTATGGTTTTCTTTAGTTAATTGCTTATTCTCTTTTACAAGAATTGAACTGCGCTTTAATGCAATACGAATTAATTTGAAATAAAAAAACAATGATCAACGAAATGTATAGTGGCGCCGGCGTATAAATGCGAGGCTTGTGATCAATGTTAAACAGGCCCAATGTTAAAAAATAAAATTTTGACTTGTTCGTAAACTAGGTTACTTAATATCGAAGCCAAAAATTAAACGAAGTAAAATTTTTCTTGTAAGTATTAATCAAAAAATATTAAACTAAAATACAAACTGTTAAATAAGTTTTATTTTTTTAAAGATTTCTAATCAATATCGCTTATTACTTTTTTTTTTTTTTCAACAAACATTATTATATAATTCAATAAAAAGTGTTTACAATCTCATATAATATATAAGTCTACAAAATCACACAAAAAAGTTATTTACACCACATTTATTTGCAATAAGTGAAAGTTAAAAATACTGTTAGCGCGTGCTTGCTAGACAGTGGATTAAAATAATGAATTTAAAAGTTCGCGGTTCATAAAATAAAGTGCTGGCTGTTAACCCAAGCATTTAAAAGATATATGCAAGTTCGTCGCACCACAAAGCTACGAGGGACTTGCTCGTGGTTGTTGTTGAAAGAAAATATAAATACATATTATAAGTTTAGCAAAATTATGTAATTAAAGAAAAACTCGCAGAAGGATAAAAGAAGTCTTATCATCGAAAACCTTTAAAATATAATTTAAACTAAAAATTTAAAAGCGGATTTATACAACATAGAAAAAGCGGATTATAAAACATACATAAACATTTTAAGGTCTACTTCTTTTTTGATTGATAAATATTTAATTTAATTTTCAGTCTGTTAGAAAAATTCTGAGTTTTTCTTTAAATTCAGGATCAGATTTTTTTAACTTTATTTTCAAAGAGTTTTTATAATCTAGATTACAAGTTATTTTTAGGTATTAGTTTGTTGCATAAATAGGGACCACGATATGAAATAGAGAATTGTGAGAATTTAGTTTTGTTTGAATGGTGTAATAAAATTTTCAGCATCTCTTGTATTATATTTATTAAAGTTAAAAAGTTATTTATAAAATAATATGGTACCTAATTAAATTTTAGCATGAATAATAAATTTTGATATATGTTAATTTGATGAATATTAAGCACCTTCATTTCTTTAAAGAGGGGTTCAGTGTGTGTAGATTTGTTTTTATGGTAAATTAGTTATAAGGCGTGTTTTTGACGTTGCTTTAATAATTTTAATTTAGTTATATGCGTATTCCCCAAAGCTATATTAGTATATATAATAAATAAAGTATAAAAGTTTTAAACTATTTTGCGATAGATTAGGCCTTGCTTTATAAAATAGACCTATGTTTTTTGATATTTTAGTGTTTAATACATTTATGTGAGTGTTCCAAGATATATTTTCGTCTATTACAACTCAAAAAAATTTAGTTTCCTGAGTTCTTTCAATGGTTATGTTTTCTATTTTTAGCAGCGGTAGAGTTGTTGGTAATGTGTTTCTTAGTTGTTTTTAGTAAAATAAGGTGTATTTTGTTTTTTCGGTGCTTAGTGACAATTTATTGGCTCTAAATCAAATATTTAGTTTTTTAAGTTCTTTGTTTACATTATTATACAGATCATAGATGCTTTTTAAAGAGTAAAATAAGTTTGTATTGTCTGCAAACATCATAAACTCAAGTTTATTAGATACTTTTGGAAAGTCATTTACATAGATAAACAAAAAAGGAGCAAGAATTGAACCTTGAGGGACACCACATGTTATTTTAAACAACTTTTTGTGGTAATTTTCATTTGTAATAATACACTGTTGTCTGTAATACAGGTAACTTTTGAACCATTGCAGTGTTTGATTTTTTAGTCCATACTTTTCCAATTTTTTAAGAAGGATTTTGTGGTCTACTGTATCAAAATGGGTCTAATTATTTCAGGAAGAACATTCAAAAATACATTGGTCGAGATATCATCAATACCTGGATCTTTATTTTTTTTTTTTAATGTTTTAATTGCAACTTTAAGTTCTTCATATTTTAGTTCCTTGAAAACTAGAGAGCAATTATAAAATAAGAGAACATATTATATTACACCGCGAATTAGCATTTAACTAGGAAATTCACACTTTCTTTATTACAAATATAGCCTATCAAGCCAAAACCAGCAGCGAACCTCGAACCTCTTGATTCTGAGCCAGTACTATAAATAACGCGCCGTGGCTGTTACTAATTTTGACCTAAGTACATTTTTTCAAATTGTACGATTTTTTTTAAACTAAAGTAACCCTTGGGTAGATTTACTGAATAATAAAACCTTTTAGGAACGTTTGCTTAAAAACCTGCTTTCTAAATTCTGCTTTATACAGCTAAACTAGGTACTGGTGCATTTAAACCATTTTGCAGGTTATTTGAGGAATAAAATAGATCTTCTTAGTATCTGCTGTACAAGTAACTTATAGTAGACTGAGTAGTCTGATGTTCCACGCTTATTACCCCTTGCTTTTAACTTAAAAACAGGGTAGATAGCATTGCAAACTTTTACTTAACGCTTTAGCTATTTCTTTCATTGTTTTCCTTTTATTTCGTAGATTTCCAATCAAATTTTCACTTCTGTCTGGTCAATTTTTCTGTTTATTTTTCAACAAAAAATGCATAATTTTTCGAACAACAAAGTAATGCAGATTTTGGTAAAATGTATTAAAGAACAAGAATTTACTATTGCTTACAATTAATATTCTGAAATTTGTCTTTTATCTGATTTTAGAATATTTTTCCCATTAAAAATGTGATGTTTTCAAGTTTACGACATCAAGTAGAATTTTTATCAAATAAGTATGTTCATAAAAAAATAAATTTTGATAAAATATTTTTGTAAAAGAATAATTTTTCCGCTACTGTATATTATGCTATTACGATTGAATATTACTTATTTAAAGAGGTAAACCTTATTTCATTAAAATAAGAGATTTGAATTTTTAATAAAGTTTTTGATAAAACCACCATTTGACGTTCATTACTAAGCAGAATCACCAGAGTGCATTATACCTAGTGAAGCAGTTTAAAAATTTTGAAAATTGACGCGCATCATAGCAATTTAGAATAGAAAAAAAATTTAAACATCAACATTTTTGTTGTTACAAAACAGGTTTTTCCATTAAAAATATATTTAGCAAACAAATATTTATCGAAACCTCAAAAGAAGTGTAAAGATATTACAGCTACATACAACAATTCACACCCACACACACACAGATACACACACACACACATATATATATTCATGTGAATTTAGTCAGATATAGAGATAACTACAAACACAAAAAATTACTATTTAAATGTTGAGTATGCTTAACAAAAAATTAGTTCACTAAGTAAACAGGTGTGTGAAAACAATTTTTTCTTTTTGATTAAACCAAGTTAATTATCTGTTATGGTAGGATTTTGATGAAATAATTTTTCTTTTAACAACATCACTTGTTTGGTTAATGCCAACAATTGTTCTTTTAAGTTTAAATTCCTTTGTAATAAAATTGATTCTTTTTCAAATAAGGTTTTTTGGCAGAACTTACGTGAACGTCTAAACTTTTGACATGCTTTGTTGTTTCTTTCACGTTTCATTTCCTCTCTTTCTAATTCATTCAAAGATTGATATATACGTTTTCTACCACGTTTTGATTTAATTGATGGCAACATATCTTGTAAAGGTTTATTTGTTTCATTATTAAACCCTGTCACATTGTAACAAGTGTGAAATAAATGGTCCCAGTCATGTTTATAAATGTTAATTCCATTTAATGAATCATCAGAATATTCGCTAAAGCAAATTTCAGAAGAGATATTAAAATCAGATGGCAAAAACTCTTTGCTAGATGAGACATTATCAAGAAAAAAGTTTTTATCTTCAGTTATACTTTTCTGATTATTTAAAAGTATATTGGTAAAGTAATTATCTGCATTTAAACTTAGATTATTACTTAAAGATTGCAACACTTCATTCTTTGATGAATCTTCCTCTAATAAATCTACATCTTTGATACGTTCGCTTTCATAAAATGACTCCCAAACATTAAGAAAGTTGTCGGATATTAGATCTGTAAAATAATCTTTATTAAAATTGAAATTACCTTCATTATCTTTATTTTCGTTCTGAAAACTTTCACGTCTGTTGACGTTTAAAGTACCTACAAAAAATTATTTGAACATAAGAAAAAATATATTTTTAAAATTAAACTATTTGATACTCAGTTTTATATAACTTTTCTCAACAGTTTTCTTATTGATATTATTGACATTTTCACTGATTTTTACTCTTTAAAAAAACAACAAATGAACAAAAATAAACCAGAATAAGTACAAATAGCACTCATTCTAGTTCATTTTTGTTTGTAGAATTATACATTTTTTGTAGAAAGTATAATTTTATAAACTATAAATTCTATTATAATTCTAGAAATTATAATTTCATTATAATTCTTATATAATATATAAGAATTATAATTTCATTATAATTCTTATATATTAAATATAAATAATATATAAGAATTATACTACAATTGCTAGTAATAATTTTACTTCATAAATAAATTACAACTATTGACATAAAATAAACTGTGAAGGAAGCAAATTTTTAAATTTTTGAGAGCTTTTTAGTTATAACAAATTTTTGAGAGCTTTTTAGTTTTTACAAATTTTGAAGAAAATTTGTTATTCTTTGCTCATTATTCTGACCACTGTTTAAAGCCTTTGTCTTGTTTTTTTTATTGAGTAGTAACCAAAATGCAAATATTTTTAAATAAATAACAAATATAAGAATTAAAAAAATTTCAACTGATAAGCAAGTACAGTACCAAGTGACACATAAATAAATTACTTAGGTATATTAGAAATGACAGACAATTACCTGTGTCAAAGACAATACTTTGATACACGCTCAGCAGGAGAGGAGTAAAGAATTATTGAAGGGTCAAATGAAATAGACCCTGAAAATTGGTTAGTTAATGAATTTATACAAGAAAGCTGATTTTTGGAAAAATCACTTTTATCTACTTCAGCCCTAGATGGGCTATAAGCAAGTATTCTCGCCATTTTAATATAGTTATGTACAGCTTTAGTACTGTAGTAGGTGTTGCCTGATTAATGCCGGATTTCAAATGAGTTTCAAGGATAAATCATTGAATTTGAACCGGATTGTTATCCGGGCCATTGTTTTTTAAATGGATCCGATTGGCTAACCTGAGCAATTCCGGTATAGCAGCCTAGCTCTAGTAGGATATAGTACTCCTGTAATATTTCTTTCCTAAGAAATAAATACTCCGGAGATACATACTTTCTAGGAAACAAATACTCCTCTAGGATATAAGTGCTATAACACTTTTTTCCAAAAAAATTTTAAAATTAAAATTTTTTTTTACTATATATATATATATATATATATATATATATATATATATATATATATATATATATATATATATATATATATATATATATATATATATATATACATATATATATATATATATATATATATATATATATATATATATATATATATATATATATATATATATATATATATATATATATATATATATATATATGTATATTATATATATATATATATATATATATATATATATATATATATATATATATATATATATATATATATATATATATATATATATTTAAGGGCTATAGTTTATATAAGGACTATCAAATGGCTCAATTTCCAGAGAAAGCACATGACTCTGTGCTCCAGATCTGATTCCCAGCTCTGTTTTGTATCAGAGATTTCCTTTTTCTAGAGTTTGAATGAATGAAGTAATGTGTTCAAATAAAGTAATGTATAGTAAAGTACGAACTATTTAGAGAGTATTAGTTAGAAATGAGGAGAGAGGAGAGAGCAGAGGAAAGCTAGAGGAATATTTTCTAATGTTATTCACCTTTCCATGGCCGAGTGGGCCGCTACAATCGAGGAAGCTAATTTTTGTGATTACAACCCTCCCTAAACTTTTTGATTCTTAAACATGAACCTTGGTCAACAAGTGCGAACAAATAAGTTGCACGCAATGCTATCAGGGACATGTGAGGATCTCTTTATTTAACTATTTAGTCTTTATCACCAACATTGAGTTTTTTAAAATTATTTTAACCATTACACTATTTATAAATGCATTGTTTCCTCACAAAGTAACCCTGATAAATCATTTATTGGCTTAACCGAAGGCGAATGATAAAAACGTTACGCCAACCACAATCTTTAAACATAAAAAAATATTTAAGAGTATTTTTTATGTTTAAAAGATTGTTTATTCTATTAAATATTCATTTAATAGATGCTGCAAAATTACTTTCTTTTAACTCTCATATTTCTTTTGGAAAGCTCTGTATCGTATTTATATTTAATGGTGTTAAATGACTTTATATGGTTTGCATCACTTTAAAAGAGGTTGCACTTGAGTTAATATATACTTTGTCTTTATATTTAGGTTTGTTAGAACATACTGTTTTTTGGTATACAATGTTGTTTGGTATACAATGTTATAAGCGTTTTCAGCTCAATGGGCAGACAGATTTTTTAACGCAATGGTTATTTTTTTCTTTTACTATCTCAGCAAACATTCTAAAGCGGAATTTCAGTGGAACTAAAAAGGTATTTTGAGCACTGTAGTTTTGCTCATCGTTTATTTAGTGGACTATTATAGGCAACCACCAAAAGTCGCTAGCCAATGAGTTGCCACTATTAACATACCAGAAAGTTATCGGCTTATTTTTGTAGCGGCTGTCACTTATAGTCTACTAAATGACCGATGAGCAAAACTCCAATCAAACGCTAAAAAATGCCCACATATGTCTACTGCAAATTCACTAAAAAAATGTTTACTGGGATATTATAATCATTGTATAAAATATTTCTTTTGTGAAAACCAGTTATGGATTTGATGTTTGGCAATCAAGAATAACTGATATTAATTGAGTTTTTTGTTAAATATTTTGTGCAGGCTGTGGCTAACGGGGAAATGATGTTCAACTAGGGTTAGAAATCGTATATCAATTTTTGTAGAGACATTTTTGCTAAAGGTTGGGTCGTAACATTTGATATTGGGCCGGTATACTTTTTTTTAGATTGTTTTTTTGGTAAGTAAGTGTACAATTGGATTCAGATTTATTTTAATGCGTCGTCGTAAGCCAGAACAGAATTCTTAAAAATAAATTCACTTGATAATGAGACAGACAGTAAGAACTCGATTAATTCTGGCATACTTTTTGTCATCTTAGGTGGATGGTTAGAATCAGCATGCATGTAATTAAGGGTATTATCCGGTTTACTGTATGGTTTGAATGAATTGTCAAAAAGTCTGTTCCTATTTTATGACTGATGGTTGCCTCATTTTAATTATGTAATGCTCAGAGCATTATATAATTAAAATCAGCTGTGGAAAAGAGCTGGAGGCTCTTTCAGAGCTTGAGGAAGCTGCTGAAATAGCTAATGTTATACGGGTGAAGTTTATGATACTTAAATGATTAGTTTCCTCTAATGAAGTATATTCTTATTATCGGCAATCAGTGTTGTGATTAAAAAGTTTTCTAAATCCACCTTGTTCCCCGTTATCAAGAAAGTCATCACTTCTGGGTTAACAATCACTTTTCCAAAAGTTTGGATCTTTTTTTTGAATCTTTTTTATGTATCCAGTTGTTGTGATATTTTGTGCCTTTGTTTGTGTCATTGTGTTTTGCTGTGTGTTTGTGTTTCCAATTTTGGCCTTGCACATATTGAACACAGCTTACTTTAGGGATGTCTGGATCATGTTGTTTATTTCTCAATGACATGTAATGTTAATTATTTGTAACGTAAATCCAGCATGTTTGCAAATGCGTATTTTAAAACTTTATCTCCAAACTACCACTTGGGAAAAAAGTAATTTTCAATGATCAATCATCAGCGACCTTTTTCATCATGAAATTTGTTGCTAGTTTTAGAATGAGATATTGAGAGCTTGTTCTCAACAATTGTTCTTAATAATTGTTTGCACTTGCAAGGTTAAAAAGTTTTTCAAAAATTTTCAATAGACTTATGAGAATGATTGAAGAAGTCAACCAGTTCTGTTATCTTATCACTCAAATCTCTATACAACTCACATTTCGATGTAGCACTTTCAAATTTATCTTATGATCAACACTTCAGAACATATAATTTAGAATACAATATTTTCCAGATTTATTCATATTGTATGTTATTATTGTGCGCACATTTGATCCCAAGTTAAGGTCTTTAGTGAAGCCTGCAAAATGTTGTGACCAAGAAAGGCTTCGTTTGAAAATCCGAGTTAATCTATGCGCAGATTAAGCGATCTATGCTGTTTTAGTGATCTTGTTGGTCCACAAATCATTTGTGAATGATTTTCCATCCAAATCAGGTTTGTCTTTATTAAATATTTTATTAACTAGTGACTTCATTGTATTTAATAAATCATGAATTTCGGTACAAGAAACTCTCCTTGAATAAATTGGCTTACACTGCCCTTTTGTACATACTTTCACAAAATTCTTAAAGTTTTTGATGATCCAGCACCAGTAAAAGGTCAAACTATAAAGTCATTATCAAAGTCGGAGTTTGCATTGACAAGTACAGCTTTTGGTCTTTCACCGTGACCTCCTCTCCGTCTAGCGTTTTAACGCTTGTCTCGTGCTTTGACCGAATTTAGCCTCTTATCCTAATTGTGTTTCCACTAGGTAACTGGTAATACTGACCATATTTAATGTAATTTGCTTTTTTTTTATTGATCTTGGTGAAGTAACACCAAATTAAAAAAACTTTTGGCATTTAAAATGGAAAAAAAAAATTAATTCAATTACATTAAAAATTTATCTATACATCTATTTATCTACCTATCTATACATCTATTTATCTACCTAACTATAATTTCACTTTAAAATTGCAGTAGATTTACTTATTTTATGTTGTTGTTGTTTGTTTTTTTTTTGATATTTTTTAATTACTTTATATTTCCATTATTACAAAGAAATTTTTTCAGATTCGAAAATATGCTATTTTATTTCCCATTCAAACAGCAATGGACAATTAAAGTCTTAAACTTTGAATTTTTCAGTTTTTTCTTGGGGCCTTGCTACATACTAGAAAACTTTAAATATCCTGTTTTAAGTTTTATTAGAATATTAGTTATTAATACATTTTGAACGCAAGTAGAATATTGTTTTGTGCCTATCGATCTATGGTAGTTACTGAAGTATGTGCCTTTAAATAATCAGATCTTTATAATACTAACCATGATAATACTAAATTTAAAGGAAAATCATTTCAATCTAAAAACAAACAATTATTTCAAAAAAATTCAATCGATTCAATCAATTAAAACTTACCTTAACATCTGACCTAAAACTTATTATCATCATCTTTATACTGTCTTTAAAAACCTTATTTCGTTATCTGAAATCAGAATGCAAAGTTACTTTAAACTAAACAATTAAAGAGTTTGGAAGGGACTCTAGCAATAAATTACATAGATAAGATTACATTGGTATATATTTCATGAAGATACGCTCGTTATATAAAATTATAAACTTGGATTGTGTCAAGTGCTCAACGTACAGCTCGTAGAGAAAAAGCGTAAGGATGAATTTCCTTCACTCATCCGTTTTTTCACGAGAACGGGAAAGGAAAAGGAAAAATAATCACGTGGGCATGCGTATTATAAGTTTTAATTTGTCAGAAGTAAAACTACGCATGCTCACGTGATTATTTTTCCCTTTCCTATCCCGTTCCCGTAGAAAAAAAGGATGAGTGGAAACTCACCTTAAGAGACGTAAGAGAGCGAGAGTGACTTCGCTTTCCGCTATATACAAAACAAGAAACCTTCTGGCTGCTGCCTTAGCGGACTAACGCAACAACAATACCTAAGATTTTTTTAAAAATATATGGTCACAGTGAAAATACTTATGTTGCTTTTGTGATGGGGATATGGTTGAGAAAGGAATTAAATGGACTTAAGCTAGAATAAACTCTATCTAAATAAATCAGCAGATGAATTAAGAAAGTACAAATTTGATAGCTAACCTCATAT